GGAATGAATGGAGTGTGTTGAAAATACCACACTGGCAACTCTTAAGATGGAAACAGCAGAGAGGATATCTCACAAGTGGCAGGAAGAGGTGTGTGGCAATGAATTCCCGCTCACAGTTCACTGAAAATCAGCATGCTATAAGATGCTGATCTTTGATTCAAGCATTTCCTCAACCCAGCTGCTGCCTAAGAGCCTTTAATTAGAAGAAACACAATACTCTCCAAACCATGATGTTGGCTAACATCCATTTGTATGTGATTCTTACAAAGGTCAGTATGTAATGCCATCGGAGTTCACTCTGGGGAGAGTGTGAGCCTAAACTTGTAGAGCCAAAAATAGCCCCCAGGCACAAAGGCAAATGTGGGTTCCATTCCACACTGAGTTGAGGGAACATTATTTTCCTACAATCAGCAAAGTTGTAAGGAAAACAAGCACACAAAGGGCATTTCTCTAAATAGTGCTGAACTGTGTAGATGACACCTGTGGTATTTTCTGCTCAGTCCCTCCACCAGCCACATAGTTAACATGGGAACTTCCATGTGAGTACAGGGAGACCCCACACACACTCGCTGTCCATAGCTGATGGCTAGAGGCTGGCACTAGATCCACACCAGCCCAGTCTAGTGTCCCATCTTTCTTGTTTTTCTAGGTACAATCGATCATTCCAGGGGTGAGCACGCATGCCAACCTGGATCAGGAAGTCCCACCCAGCATACTGGGACTTGACACTGAGAGAATTCAGTAAGTCTCTTCCCAGTGGTAAAGCGGGAAATCATGTCATCTTTGGTATTATCTACAGAAAACCAAGGGAGGCTGTTCCGGTATTACTGGAGGCCCATCTGCATCTCTGCTATTTCTACAGCTAGATTCTTTAACTATTCCCTGGATTTTTTGAGAGAACCAAAAATCTTGAAATCAAATTTCCATATTTTAGTTAAAATAGTCTGAGTTTAATATCTGGATTTGAAAACAATGGATTCCTGACTTATATAATCAAATTTATCATGTCTGACTACAAATGAGTACTTTTATGAACCAGAAAAGTGTATGGTTCCTCTTGGTCATTGAATTTTTCTCCTCGTTGATTTCTCATAGTTTTCTTTCTACTCCACTTGGGGTTAGAAAAACCTTTCTTTCAAAATGATACCTTGTGAACAGTGATGGCTGTGAGGGTTTATCTAGATAGGACTGTTTCCACATCCACGGTCCTTGATGGATAAATGCAGTAAAATATCCAGCACTAGTGACTTCCACTGCCAAAATTCTCTCAGAAATGGAAACCAGAACAGACCCTTTTTTTAAAGATAGGCTATGTGCCAAGATTTTGTTCATTTAAGAAAGACTACAGAAAGTAAAACAAATGAAAGAAAAGACAAGTCCTGGCCCCAAGAATTGTACACATCATGCAGCAGCTGCTACACATGGAGAGAGAGAGAGCACATAGCTACCACACAGCTTGAACAGGGCAGACAGTAAGGCTGGAGAATCACTGTCCCTGGCCCAAATGTAGAGGCCTGGAGAATGAGCATCCCCTGCCTCATGAAGAGAGAAGGAGATGGAGTGGGCTGGGCTGGACTGAAATAGGGAGAGAAAGGGGGGAAATGGGGGGGGGTCTATTCCATACTAAGCTATTGAGATTGTGAATTAAAACAGACATTTTACAAGGAGATGCACCAGATACTAATGAAACTAATGAAGGTAGTTGCAAGGGGTGGCCCCATGTTAGACACAATAGCCACATTGATGTAGCTACTCTTCAGCATACTTGCCTTGCTGGTCTCCATTCTCAACTCTATTTCAATATGACCCTTGTGCCCTCATCCATTCATGCTATAGGAAAGGCAGGCCCAAAGGAATTGCTGCTGCAAATGCAGTTCTCTGGAAAGGCATACGCATGAACAGAATGGGAGTGGCCTTTGTCCCACTCCTAAAATATGGCAGGTGTTGACATTTCCACTCTATCTCCCATTTGAAGACAGAAATGAGTAAAGCTTTTCCCAACTCTTCCATGGACAAGTACTGAGTACCTCGTGCTCTCTGACAGTTGCTTATGTACAACCTGGAAACCAACACAGTCCTTGGACACCCAGCAAAGAAACCTATGCATCATGATCTCAGACCGTGATCCATCTTTTCCTTTTCATTTCCTCTGATCATCCAGAAGATGCTGCTCTTGCTGCAGATGTTGATTGCAACTTTTAGCATGTGGAATTAATTAATTGCCAATTTGGTCAAAACAAGCAGTCTTACTGTATTTATTTTAGATTCTTCTCCTTTCTAATTATTCATAGCAAAGGAAACCATGAAATTAGGAATTGAGATATAGTCATTCCACAAAAATGAAAAGCCACAGCAACATGGAGGACACAAGCAGGAGCCTGGCACTGCCAATTACAGGCCAAGCCCTGCTGCCCACTGAGTCTTTCAGAAGTAAGTTACCAGAGCACATCCAGGAATCATGTTTGTCTGTCTTACTTCTTCTGTCCAAGAAAGTTCCTAAGTACAAGACCCAGGGTTAGGGACATCAGTCCTGCAGGAGCTTTTCTGTTGCTACAAACTTCAGCTCTGGCTGTTAAGTGAAGAAAAGGTGCATTGGCTTGCATGGGTCCAGCCTTTGTACAGTCTCCCACAAAGCTGCAGGTACCATACCTTCCCTTATAATTGCTCTGCAGCCTAATGCACAATTTAAGAGAGGCAGTAAGAAGCCATTGAGGTCGCTCGGGAAAGGTTTTCATTAGCCATTCTTTAAAATAATTACCCAATATTGAGAAACATGTTGGCCTAGACATGATTTGCTTTGAAGAGCTGGAATATCTAGGAATGAAGTCTGGGGGTGCATCAACCACCACTGCAAATGTGAGTGGGTGGGGTTCAAGTTGGTGCAGCAGAGCTCAGCTCAGGGAACCTTTCTGATGAAGAGGGAGGATAGTCTGCTTGTGCCACATTCTCCATAACACAGGCTTCCTATTAGGCCCTGACTGCAGGTGCACAAGCAAGCAGCCACTCTTGGGAAGCCCACCCTGCCTTGCAGAGCAGCAGCATACATGGGGTCAGTCTCCATGCACCAGCATTAACCAGGGCTCCTTTAGGGAGGGCAGTGAGGTAGAGCTAGGGCTGGGCCAGAGGCAAGGAATGGCTGGGCCATGTGCAGGCCTCAGCTGTAAGGTCTGGAGTACATCATTGACTCCCATGCTGTTACTCCAAATGTGAAAGGAGAAGATTGAATCCAGTGATCTCTAAAGGCCCTTTCTGGAAGGAAAAGCTGTGATTATTCCATAATTATTTAGTATATTTCAGAGAACTCAGCGGCATATAAAGGTTTTGTTGTTGTTGTTAATTACTATTGTAATAAACGGCATACTTGGAACATTATTAATGCAATAATCTGGTGCTAGACAACACACAACATCCTCCTAATATTTCCTCTTGGGTTTAACAAAGTATCAACTGATGTGGCAGAGATGATCAGAGTGTGAGGTTAGCCCCTTACTGGGAATATGACACACATAGTTTAGACACCCCTATTTATGACAAGGCACATTTTGGTCATATCTCTAACACTGGCTCTCAGCCAAGGAAAAAAAATTATTTGTGTTCAAGATAGAGGATATTACAAAGATTAATAAAACTGTAATTGATGTCAGTACCTTAGAGGTTATGGGGTGGGTGGTTAAGTACACAATGTAAGCCCTGAGTCATTTGCACATAAGAGAGCTACATGAGTGCCTATTGCAAGCAGACTCCTGCACGTTTGCCAACAAAAATATGAGTGCTAAGTTCACACTAAGCTTGGGATTTTGAAAGAAATTCAAGATGGATCTAGAAAGAAAGAAGCTACTGCTAACAATAGTTATTTTTAAAGGGGACAAAATTATAGACAACATATTTTTTAAATTAGAATAGTGATCTAATTAGGTTAAATAGCTAAAGGCAAATTTGAGAAAACACTAAGAACAGAGAAAATTGTAATAACAACCACTATTAATAGAATTTTGGAAAGCAGAGAAAATATTAGCTCCATGGAAAAAGAACAAGATGCTATAAAAAAGGAACATTAAAGAGAATAACATGCTCTTGGAAGTTTAGCATATGACAGTAGAAATGGCACACCCAGCTGAAGTTCTGAAAATGAAAGGTGGGTGGGGAAATCTTGCAGAAATTAGAGCAAAAGAAATAAGATTGAAGGATCAGAAAATCAGAAAACAGAACTGAGTGGTCCAATGGTCCAACATCAAAAAAGAGAAAACAAAAGAATCAGTCATTGAAAAAGTAATTAAAGAAAAATTCTCAGAACTGAAGGACACAAATATCTAGATCTCCCAGGTGACAATTCAAAACAATGAAGCCGGCCCGCAGTGAGGTATGTCATTGTCTTAGTCACTCTTCTTGTTACTGGGACAAAATATCTGACACACACTTGAGGGAGGAGAGGTTTATTTTGGCTCACATTTCAGTCCACAGTTGACTGGCTCCAAGGCCAAACGTATGGTGGAAGGGTCTGCTCTCCAGGAAACAGAGCAAAGAAGCAGCCAGGGAAAAAGATAAGTGCTTCCAGGTCATGCCCACTGTAACCTACCTCTTCTGATAAGAACTTACCTCTTAATAAGTCATCTATAAACCTCAATAATTCAGTCACCTCCCAAAAGCAGCACTTATGATCATGCGAGGTTTTGGGGTGGGGTAACATTTAGATATAAACCATTAAATCCAGGGCGGGGGAATTAGCTCAGTGGTTCCGGCGCCTGCCACGGAAGCGCAAGGTCCCAAGTTCAATCCCCGGTACCAAAAACTAACAAAAACCATTAAAGGGCCAGGGATTTAGCTCAGTGGTTCCGTCGCTTGCCTTGCAAGCGCAAGGACCCGAGTTTGAGCCCTGGTACCAAAAAAAAAAAAAAAACCATTAAAGCTATCTTGAAATATTACAGGATTTCAAAAGGATTATACAAACTTGAGAGTAGAATAAATTAGTATCAAAGAAATAAAAAGAAAATGGCACTGACCTTCTCAGGATAACAGTAGAACATAGAAGAGGGGAGAATTTCCAGGAGCATTTCGAGGGAGAAATGCTCAAATCACCTGTGGAGGTAAAATTTTCAAACATGAAAAACAACAAAACAAAAGCAAAATAAAGCCTCCCCACCATGCCCTCTTTATCAAGAAGCTATCAGGAAACATAATCCAGTAGTGAGGGCACTTTCTTAATGTCTTTCAGGCTTTAAAGACATTAACTCCTGGTCTTCTTTGTATGGCTTTGTCATGCTGGGGAAACACTCTGCAGGTCATATTTCTGCATTCTCAGCAGGTTCCATAGTTAACTCTTCCCATGGAGGCACCGGGGACCAAGGGAGACTGGAGGAGGAAGAAGGAAAGTGTTCCTGGCTGTTTATTTCCTGTTTCTGTCAGTTTCATACCAACAATGATTCTTCTCCCTGGTAGACCAGTTAGTTCCAGTTGGCAGTAACAGCATAGGCTGGCACCTGATCAGTGGAGGCCTGAGCCCCAGCAGTATCCTTCTAAGCTGCCAAGACAGAAATCCCAGCTGAGCAATACTCCTTTGCCCAGTAGTCTGGATTCCAACTTTACAGGATCCCCCTCCAGCCTTCTCAGTTATTTTGTTCTCCCTGTCAAAGTGGTTGTGCCTATTTCCTGAGTTACTACTTATGTGATTCCTCGGTGTTTGCCTGCTTTACCATATGAAATCATCTCTGTTGAAATAATTGGTGTGTTTCCTGTTTCTTGACTAGACCCCAACTGGCAAAATGCTTCCCTAAATTGAGAAAGTAAATAAAGAAGATGTGAGACCCAGGATGAGATCCACACACAAATGGGAATAATCGTCATATATCCCACAATGATATTTTGGTCAAGGACAATCTGCATATATGGTAGTGGTCACCTGAGATTATATCACCTATAGACATCTGTCATTGCTGTCTTATATTGTAAGTACACTCACACTTCCTTCCTGTAAGTTCCCACAATGATGATGAAATCACCTAATGATGCTTTTCTCAGAACTTGTCTCGTTATCTGTGTTAGTCAGCTTTCTGTCACTGGGACAAAATACCTGAAAGAAATAACTTAAAAGGAGGAAAGGTTTATTTTGGCTTATGGTTGCAGAGGTTTCTTGGCCCTATTGCATTTGGCCCTGTAGTGATGCAGTATATTATGGTAGACGCTCATGGTGAAGGAAATCACCCACTTCATGGCAGCTGGGAAGCAAATTCAGAGAAGAGGCCAGGGTCTCATCATCCCTTTCAAGAATACACTCTCATTGACCTAAATTCTGTCCATTAGGCTCCACTTCCTAAAGGTTCCACCTTCTCCCAACAGTGCCATTAGCTGGGGACCAAGCCTTTGTCACATGAGCCTTGGATAACATTTAAGACCTAAAGTATAACATTGTTGTGAAGTTTGGAACAGAGGTTAGGTAGAACCCTTGAAGACATCAGTGTAGGAAAAGATTTTATGAACAAAACCTCAGTTGCCCATGAACTAGCACAAACAATCAACAAATGGGATCTCTTCTTATTAAAAGGCTTCTGCACAACAAGGGAAACCACCAGCAGTGTGAAGAGACAACCCACAATGTGGGAAAAAATCTTCACCTGCTCTTCCTCAGACAAAGGTCTACTATCTCGAATCCATAAAGAACTTAAAAAGATCAGACTTCCCAAATTTAAAGACCCAATCCAAAAATGCGCATCTGAAATGAACAGACATTTCTCAGGCAAAGAAGTAGAAATAGCAAATAAATACATGAAAAAATGTTCAATATCACTGGTCATTCGAGAGATGCAAATGAAAACAATGCTGAGATTCCACTTCACTCCAGAAAGAATGGCTGCTATCATGAAATCAACCAATAACAAATGCTGGCAGGGTTGTGGGGAAAGAGGAACCCTGCTCCACTTCTGGTGGGAGTGTAGACTGGGGCAAGCACTGTGGAAATCAGTATGGAGATACCTCAAAGAACTAGGACTGGAAATCCCATTTGACCCCGCTATTCCACTGCTGGGGATCTTCCCCAAAGAATTAAAAGAATCATAGCACAGTGATATATGTGCACCCATGTTCATAGCAGCACAGTTTGTAATAGCTAAAACTTGGAAACAGCCCAAATGCCCATCGACTGGAGACTGGATAAAGAAAATGTGGTTTTTTTATAAAATGGAGTACTACTCAGCCATAAAAAATGAGAAATTAGAGACATTTATAGCTAAGTGGATGCACATTGAGGCCATACTCTTAAGTGAAATAAATAGGACACAGATGTGTAAATACTGAATAGTTTCTCTGGTGTGAGAAACTGAAAGTGTAAATAAGGACTAAATGTATAATAGGTAATGTGAAATAGGAAGAAAAGGGGCAAAGGGGAAGGAAGTGGGAGGGCTAAGGGAAAGGATAGAAGGGAATGGGATTAATATGAAAAAATGGAAAAATAAGAACAAAATTTTTGTAAATAGGAAGGGCTGGAGGGGTTGAAGGGAGGGCTGGGCAAGGGTGAAAAACAAGAACCAAGAGAGACTATGTAAAGGTGCAAATTTCCAATGATGAATGTCATTATATTGTATACCTAAAATGTACCAATTATTAGGATGAATAATCGATAATGTAAAATAGGAATAAAAGGTCCAAAGCTGTAGAGGTAGTGGGAGGCACAGGGGAAAGGAAAGAAGGGAAAGGAAAAAATGATGAGAAATGGAAAAAGTGGAAATAAAGTCTTTGTAAATAGGGAAGGGTGGAGGGCGTGAAGGGAGGGCTAGGAATGGGGAAAAATAAGAACCAAGATGCATTATATAAAGGTAAAATTCCCAATGAGAAATGTAATTGTGTTGTATACCTAAAATATACCAATAAAAGAATTTAATACAAAAAAAGGAATGGAAATCATTGTTAATAATCTTTATAGATGACCCTGAAGAAATAGACTGCAAACTCAATGTGGGGATCCTAAAACTTTTCTTTCTGACAATTGTCATTTTACTAGAAATACAGGCATTGAATTGATGCATTAATAAATATGAAATACTTGTTCATTCATTAAAAAAAACATTGTTGTGAAGTAACTCATAAGTATATGACAGAGGATGAAGAGAGATATATGAAAATCATACAGTAGACTTAGAAGCCAACCAGTTCACTTTAGAGCATATCAAAGATCTCCCAGAAACATTCCTTCAAGAGGATGAAGATCACAAAATACTTCATGTATTTATACATACCAAGAAAAGATTTGTGCCATGGAAGGAAATTGTAGGAGTGAATAAGTGATCAGAATGCAAAGACTAAAAAAACAAAATAAAAACAAATGAAGAAATGAAGAAATTATAAATGCTGAGAAAATAAAATGTCAGGTAGTTAAAGATGAATGTTAAAGCTAAAATAAACCTTTCCTTCTTTTAAATTGTTCCTCTCAGGTACAACAGTGCTCTGTTGTGAATAGCTTTTGTATGGATATAATAATGTAGACACTGATCTAACTCAAAGTCAAATATATTGGGCAAATTGGGGATTGTAAATTCCATGTAAATGTGCATGTGTGTGTGCCTTCAAGGGGCCGTTTTTGGATGTGAAAGAAAGCTAAACGCTCATTTTTTTACAATGGGAAAGTTTAATAATACTTAAACTTTTAGAAAAAAATCAAGATGCTTACTTATATGAGGATGATGATAGTAGCAGCAGCAGCAGCAGCAGTAGTAGTAGTAGTAGTCGTCGTCGTCGTCGTCGTCGTCGTAGTAATGCAATCTGCCTCAACAAAAATTATCAACACCAAATGAATTCACATACTGCATTTAGAACAATGCCTGGCCAGTGGTAAGAGCCACACAAACATTTGTTGAGTGGATTAGCCATATAAATAATATAAGTAAACCTTTCTTTATGTCTCTCTGAAGGAACTTACACTATACCATTTCAAATGCATTTCACCTACAGGTCAAAACAAATCCCTGAAAATTGTTTCATTTCTTTCTGCTATTCTAGACATCACTAAAGATAACACAAGGGTTTTCAGAATTTAGGGGAGAAATAGCAGAGATGGTAAATGGAGTTAGTCAAACTGCAAGGTTTGTAAAGACACAATCCTGCAGATTGCTGATGCTGCCTAAGACTTCTGACCCGAAAGTCAAGTAGTTGGGTCCAATGACAAAATTAGGGGGAAGAGATCACCCCTAAACCACCATGAATTTCAATAATTCACTGTAAGATTCACAAACTCAGTGAAGCCTTTTATATTGCTACAGGTATTATAGGGAAACAGCCAAGGAAGAGACACAGAGCGAAGAGTCTAAGAAAGTCTCAGACATGAAGCTCTCCTTTGTTTCCATGTGGCATTACTGTCCCAACATCAATATGCAACCATAGAGAGTTTTTCTGACCCAAGAAGCTCACCTTAATTTCTCTGTCTGGAACTTTATTGAGGGTTCATTACATAAGGGCATGATTGATTGACTGACTGATTGTCCACATGGATGAACTCATTTGCTAGGTCACCTGATTCCATGTGACCCAAAGCCCTCATGGTAAGTTATAAGGTTGATCTCTCTAGTGTGGTTAGCCCTGTTGGGTGTGACTTCCAATGAGGGAAGGAAAGAATAAGAGGAGGAACAAGTATGGTAAGAAAGAGGAAAGAGAAGAGAAGAGGGGAGAGGATGCTTCTTTATTAAAAGGAAAAGAGGTTCATTTTCCAAGCTCATGAACACTATTGAATAATAACTGCCATATGATTTACCCTCCACATTAGCCAGGGCATTTGTATGCTTCTTAAACTTCACCAGCACTCTGTGAGGCATTTAGAGTTTTGTAGATGAGGAAACTAATACACAAGAATACCAAGTAAAAAGTCCTACATCCCCCAAATGAGAAAGAAAACACTCTGGGAGTGGAAACCAAGTCTTTTGACCCTACATTCCTGTTCTTTCCAATACAATTTATAGCATCTGTTCTTCACACTTGTCAGTCTTTGCATATTACTCCAACTCTGCAAATTTTAGACTTCTAAAATGCTCGTAATAATCTCTTTCCTTCTCTATTAATTTCATATGCTTCTCATAAGTTTTGTGATGAATTAAAGAAATGCAAATCCAGTAACTTTGTAACCTGGGAATAGTCACACTGGGCCATTTATTGTCCAGAGGATACGTAAATTTGTGTTTTGTTCTGGGATTTTGTCATAATGAAGCAGTCATTTGTTTCTCAGATGCTTTCCTTCCTGGCTCCCACTCCCACTTCCTCCACTACCTATTGGTGAAATTGGCATGTGTCAAAGAAAAGAAAAGGATCTTTCCCACAGGCTTCACTGAATGTACAAAATGGGTTATTGGACTTAGGCATCAGGGTAGACTGATGAGAAGCAGGGAGAGTCAGGTGCAAGACATTTTGACCTTATGCATTGATTCCATCCTGCATTTGATTCTTATGATTATGTTTTTAGCCAACTGCTCCAATAAGAACTTATTAACTACCATCCTCTTACTTAATTCTTATTGAACATTACTGGAAGCAACAATCAACACAGGATAAAATTAACACTGCTTAGAACTGTGTAAAATTTGTTGTGGGTGAAAACCAAAAAATTAAAAGTTGGAAACAGATTCAAGAAATAATTTTTTTAAAACAAAATCTATAGCTTCTAAAATTAACCTGATTTAAAATACTTATTGCCTGAAAGTGGATGAAAAAAATCAAGTCTTTATATATTTATTAAATTTGACCTGACAAATAAACTTGGTAAAAATAATTTTTGCCAAAAAATGCATAAAATATACAAGTAAAAGTTGAGTCAGAATAAATAAATCACATCAGAAAACAATTGATCCTGATAATAATTAAAAATAACTTTTACTGACATAAAAATAAACTCCATTTAACTTTTTACATAAATGTTATCAAAGAATTGGATTAACAAAAATTAATCCTTGAGAAAGCTTTTTCAGTAAAAACTTATCAGTTCAGATTTAACTCTTAATTTAAATATTTGTATTCATTAATGCAGAAAAAAATATCTAGGAATCAATATGGAAGTCCAAAACAGTGGGTCAAAACAGTAAGATCAAAATATTTATTATTTTGTTCCTTTCTTTAGGATTGATGTAAAATTATTACTAAAGAAAAGGAGTTGCTGTTTAGAATGAGACAGATATCTACAAAAAGTTTGCCAATGTAAATAATTTGGATTTGAGACGCCTATCTCCTGAAATGTTGGAAAAATCCAATTTTATCTTGTGGTTTCTGCTTGGACTTCCTTGGTCCCAAGACATCAAAATCACGGAGCCTCCTCTGCCTCTCAAAGACCATCAAGGCTCTGTGTGATATGGATCCACCCTTCCATAACCTCATTTCCTCTGCTGTCTTCCCCAGACTCTTTCCAGTCCACGGCTGTAGTGGAGGGGGCGGGGGAGGGTGAAAAGGAACAGAGAAGTGCTTCAAGTGGACTTGGTCTAATTCATGGGTGAGCCAGAATTAGTTTGTAGGATTTTGAGACTGAGTTTGACAGATGGGCATCTGCCAGCTGTTTGACTAAACTCTCACCCTGGAATCTAAGTGACTCCACTCTTGTTCTTGCTATTCCAGCACCATCCCATGAGCATCCTTTCCTACCTCAAACTGACTTTTAACACAAAATGATGATCAATATCCAAACTCAACATCATGCTTAGCTAGGGCAGCCAGCCACCTGCTACCAAGCTAATTGGAGCTGCCTACTCATGTGGCCATCTGTTACAAAGGCTCCACCCTGTATTTATTCCGGTCATCTCTGTTTGCCTACACCAGCACCATAATGTCCAAGGAGAATGTTTAGTCTGAATAAATTTCTGTTCCCCAGTCTTCAGTCTGTTTCTACCCTAGGCACCTGTCCCAACTCTGGGGACCTGTCTGATTCAAAGCACAAACGATCCCTGCTCTTTCTTCTGCCAGTTGTAACATGATGAGCTCCTGGCTGGCCTCCTACTCATTAGAGTGTTCACTGTCAAGCCATTCCAGCTCTGACAGGCAGCATTCCAGAAAGCCCTGATGGATGTGTGGCCTTATAGAAATGGCTGTGAAGTCCTTCACAGGGATCTCTGAATTAAGTCAAAGGCACAAGGAATCTATAGATTACGTCTTGAAGAGGTCAGTCAAATTCTTACCACCAACCCACTGTGTCCAGGCAATGCCTCAGCCCCAGGTTTTCTTTTTTAAAACAAACAAAAAAACTATTTTTCTTTGACCTCCCTGCTCTCACCCTCATCTCCTCCTTCTCTCATCACTCCAGCCAGAGTTACTACGATTGGTTTCTCACTGAATTCCACTTCAACCTCTTGGTCCCAATTTGCCTGGCAATTTTAAACCCACAGCTTGTTCTGTAGAGCTAGCTTTCCAAAGGAGTCTTGAGTTTCACAATTAATAGACATGTTACAAAACAAAAATAAAACAGAACATCACACTGGGTTGAAGCCATCTCATGGATTTTTTTTTAACCAGAAGTGGGGATTTGTGATATAAGCAGCTGCTACAAAACCAAACAAATGCCAACACTAAACTCTGAGATTGAGCCTATCCAGGGGCTGAATTATGTTTGCTTTGAGGTTTTGTAAAAGGTCATGAGGCCTAACAAAGTTCAGATGAAACTTGGCTGTTTTTCCTGCTAGGCTCTAGCTCAGAACTTGTAGCATTTCATGTGGTTTGGAGTTTTTAAACAGAGTGCTTTGCACAGTGCTAATAAATGATTCTTTCTCAGCATGGAAAGCAATTAAATCTATGGCCTCTTGGGTTTGGGTCTTAGGATCAGTATTTATTTATTAAGAGCTGGAAGAAGAGCTAAATGGCCTAGAAGAACGATCACATATAATGAAGTGGGCAAATTTGCTGAAGACACCACATTTCAGATGACTGCAAGTTAAAGCAAGAGAGTAACTCCTGAGGAACCCATAAAAGGAGGCTAGTGGGAAACTTGCTAATGAATGGAATTTAGCATCAGCCTACAAGGAACAAGTCGGAACATTTTGCAAAGCCCCGGGAAGGCCACATGAAAAGACTACAGTACCAGCCGTCCCTTGTTATCGCTGGCCACTCTGAAGGGGTCCCCTGAGCTTTCCTGTCCATCCATGTCTTGGAGCCTCCATGTGTCTCCAAGGCAAGCAATGTGGAATCACCCTCAGACCTGCTCTGGGGGTGGGATTGGTAGTTTTCTTCTAATAAGTCTCCTCCTCAATTTTGTTTATGAACAAAAGTTGTGCATTTGTTTTCTAGGGCTGCCATAATGAAGTACCACAGTTGCATTACTTAAACAGAAACTTATTTTCTCTCATTTCCAGGGGCTGTAAGTCCAAAATCAAGGTGTCAACAGGCCTGGTTTCTTATGAGGCATGTTGACTTGTAAATGATCATCTTCTCCTCTTCTCCCTGTGGGTGTCTATGTCCTAATTTTTTCTTACAAGGACAGCAGCCATGTTGTATGAGGGCCCACCATTTGAACTCAATTAAATTTACTTACCTCTTTAAAGACTTTATCTCCAAATACAGTCTAATCTGAGATACCAGGAGCAAAAGCTTTAATATGAAGAGGGGGCACACAACCACAGGAGGCAGCAAACCTGCAACGTAGTGCTGTCCTGTTCAACCCCCAGCCCTGGTGCAGAGGATGAGATGAGACCACTTGTCACAGGGAGCCCTTTGCTTCTCCTTATACTTCACATCTTCAGCTGTGCATCAAGTCCATCAACTCTGAAAGAGAGAAAGTGAAACAGGGGTATGGCAGGCTGAGAAAGGCACATGGAAACCACATGACTACTCATTCATTTTCAGGGAAATTGCCACTGACTGGATCAGAGTAGATCCATAAAGACGGTTCTCCAAATAATTTCCACTGCAACCCACCACCATTATAGCTTCAGTGAAAAAAAATTTACTGAAAACATATTTTAGAGTAACCAGAGATATAGCTGTACTCTTGCAGGGCTTACATTGCAGTAAGAGATTCTCACAATAAGCAAATAATTTAATAGATAAATAAATCTGTGTTGCCTACAGCAAGGCATCCAGCAATTACTGACTGTATTAATGGTGCTAGTTTTTTATCTCTCCTCTATCCATGTTCTTTGCCACATAAGTTTGCAGTTCCTCTCATCAAGAGATATGACTCACTTTGATCAGTAGGATGTTGATAGTTGTGACATATGCAGAGACTTGAGAAAAGCCTACTCATCCCATTTCTCATCCTACTGTTCCATCTGTTGCCAAGAAGCACCCAGGCCAGCCTGATGGAGGACTAGAAGACACATAAGAAGAGCTACCTCAGACACCATTGTACCATAAGTCAATTTCCAGAAAGCTGACAAACTTGATAACCCCCAGATACATGGACAACCTAAACTGGGATAAGAAAAAGATTCCATCTTAAATCATAAAACTACAAACTTAGCTAAATGGATATATATCGTTTAAATCCTGTTTGGAAGCACAGCGTGATTATGGCATGAGCTAACTGACCCAGGCACTGAAGGCTCCCAATAAATCTGCATAATTTTTAAAAGGGAGCATATGAGGCATTATTAACTTTTAATATCTTGGCTGACAAAGAGCACATAAGATCACCTTGTTATTTTCTAGGAGATAAAGGCTAAATAAAATTTTTACCCTATGGGAGAAAGGTAACATGCAAATTGGAGTGGTGAGAGCCATTGACTGACCTGCTTAAAATACTTCTGAGACTCTCTATGGCCTTCAATATAAAATTTAGATTCTTAAAAAAAAAATTAGATTCTTTATTCATGACAAACAAGGTCCACCTGTCTGGTTCCTGTAGTTTTCCATACAGATCCACTCTCTTCTGAGCCAGAGGTCTAAATCACACAGACTGTGTCCATCGGGTTCAGTTGCCTCCTGGCTTCTGATTGGGTTTGCCAATGGAAGGCAAGAGCAGAAGACAAAGATGGCAAGACTCATCTTTCTTTATGTCTTTCTTTAGGTTCCTCTGATGCTCTCTTCTCTCTGAGCTGTAGTTTGGCCATGGGTGCAGCATTTTGTTTTGTTTCATTTTGCTTTGCTATTTATTAAATACCATGGCTCCTAAAAGGTGGTTTCTTCCCATAGCCAAAGGTCTCACCATCTTCCAGTGACTCCTCTTTCCCACTGCCCTCAGGCCTAGGGATAGTACCACCTGGTTCTTAGTCCTGGGGGAATTTATTATCCCTTGATGCCTTTCCTTATTCCTGCCCAAACACTGTTTCAAAACAAAAGGCCCAGTTGTCATTTTTGAGGGTGCTGTTTCCTGCTATGACTTTTCCAGCCTTGCTTATCATCCACTGCTCTTTCCCAGACCTCAAATTCCAGCCACATCTGCATTGTGTGCCCTTTTTTGTTTGTTTGTTTTTTGGCCAGGCTCTCGCACAGTTTAAAAGTGTGGGCTGAAATATCACCTTTTCCAAGACAACATCCCTGACAACTGCTCTACCATCACTCCATACCCCCCACACACTGAGTCAGATGCTGCCCTTACGGGCTCTCATCACAGCGTCACCCCTCGTGTCCAGTGCTCGTCTGGGAATATGTCTAAATCTCCATGGAGAATAGAATAATCACCTCCCAGAGATGTTAGTTCCCAATCCTCAAAACTTGTGAGTCTGCTGGGTTACACGGCAAGAGGTGATCATGGTTGCTAATCAGACTTAAAGATGAAAGGCTTATCCTGGATTACCCACATGAGCTGCTTATGTAATCATACAGGTCCTTAACAGTGGAAGAGGGAGTCAGAAGAGTGCAAACTAGGGAAATGGCAGTGAGAGACTTTACTGGCTATTGTTCCATCCTTTGAAGATGGAAAAGGGAACCAAAAGCCAAGAAATGTGGGTGGACTTTAGAAGCCAGAAAAGGCAAGAAACAGATTCTCCCCTAGAGGCTCCAGAAGGAACAAGGCCTTCAGCACTTGGATTTGGCAAGATCTATTTTGGACTTCTGACCTCCAGAACTGTAAAATAACCAATTGTGTTGTTTAAGCCACCAAATATGTGGTAAGTTGCTACAGCAGCAATAGAAAACTAAATACTCCCCGAGTCGATGGTCAGATCCTTGAAGACAGGGATTGTATCTTTCATGTCTTCCAAGCTCCTCCTGCAAATCTGGTCTTGGAGAAGGCCTCAGAAATATTTGTTGAAGAAAGATAGGATACAGTTACCTAGATCCATGTAGCAATTGTTTATGTGAAAGAAGAGATCTGCATTTGCCCATAAAATTTTTAAAAATAGCTTTTAGTTATTAATCTACCATATAATCATTGAGAAAAATATCTCAGCCTATTGCCAAGGAGAACAAGGACGCAGGAATGTGAAGGCATTCACGCTGTCCTTCCTCTCAGGAAAGCAGCTGTGGTAACAGTGGCCTGCCTCAGGACATGCCCAGCTCCCCATATGGGCAGGGAAGGAACAGATTGTTCCTTCCTCTCGAGCAGCTGGCCCTGGTTTTGGCTGGATCTGGGTTCCTGGCCCTCATGGGCACTGATTGCTACAGTTTGGCAAGCTCCTCCAGCTCCAGCATTTCCAGAAGGGCTGTTCTATTACTAATCTGGAGTGGACACCTCCTATCATCACCATGATCTTGTTCTTATGGCAGCATCAACAACAAATGAGCTGCAAATCCCACAACCTGTTCATGAAATGAGAGCTAGTACGTTGGTTTAGAGCCCATTTGACTTTGCTGAGAGCTCTGAACCAGGAGCCAGGAACCCAGGGGTCTTGTCTGGCTCAGCCTCTGGCCAGCTATGTGACCTTGACTGACTTCCTCATGTAGCATATGAAAGGGGCGGACTTCTGCGGTTGCCGCAGGCTCTTGCATTCTAAGAGCCTATGACAGTTGTACAATTCCCAAACACATTGGTGCTTGGGAAAGGCCAGTGACAAACTGTCCTCACTGATGACAGCATTTCACCAAGACAGAAAATAAGAGCTAGCAACTGAGAAAGGGGAGAGAACAAAAAAACACAGAGTGAAAAGAGGAAGCAGGGACAGAAGAGGAAGAGTTTATTGAGCACCTGGTAAGTACTAGCTCCTTTCACCTACATCACTTCACACACATTCCAGGCCAGAGCCTCACAAAACTTTCCAACAAAATACCTCTGACCTGACAAAGAGTGACAAAGGCCCCTGTAGCAAGTAGGAAATCTGAAGTTTCATTTTATCTTAAAATTGGCATAAGTTTTGTGTTTTCCTCCATACAAAGGGGCTTCATTTCTCCTGTGGAATAACACTGTTGCTACAGGAAGATGTAGCATGTTAATCTTGTGATATACAAACCTCCAGCCCACTTCCATTTCTCTCTAATATGGGACCCTCCGATTCTGGAGGAAAGAACTTGAGAATTGTGAGGTGGGCTGGTAGGTTACCCAGTTTATTATAGCTGGAGAAAATAAAACTCAACCAAACCAAGCATGTTGCCTGCAGAAAATCAGCATGATAGGTCTATCCGGGCAGTTCTGCCTCCCTTGTACTCTGTGCCAAAGAGAGACCATGGCTGTTTAGGGCTCTGTTCACAACAGTGAAGCACATTAATACTCTGCACCATTGCCAGCAATTTGAAAAGACAAATTTGGGGTGTTTATTCTCAAAAGCAGAAGTTAAGGTAAGTTTCGGGGGGGGGCTAAAAGAGGGAGAGAAAAAGAGAAAGTGGTAGAAGAAGATGAAGGAGGGGGAAGGAGAGAGAAAAAGACAAGGAAGAACAGTCCTGGAAATTGTCAGCCAGTCAACTTAGTATGGAAATATGCCAAAATAAATCATCAAGTGGCTCCTTATTCCCAGCTTCCCTCACTCTGCAGACCATTCCTGAATGTGAAAGTTCTCCTGAGGCCCACCTTTGGCCCTGTTCCCTTCTCACTTCACATGACTTTCTCAAGCAATACCCATTCCCATCGCTTCACTTGCTACTCATTCTGTAATCATTAAACATTTATTTCCAAATGAAATATCTCTCTTGAGCTTCAAATTTGACCTGGATAGATCAAAGTCACCACAAAATAAATCTGTATTTGCCACCCATAGAAAAGCTCTTGGTCTTCCCTTTATTCCTTATTGAGATTAACAGCACTCTCATCCTCCCAAATCAGAAATGTGAGAATCGTACAACATTCTTCCCCTTCCTATCTCTACAACACCTCTCCTGCTTTAATTTTGTTTGAACTTTATTTCAACTTTCCGTTCCTACATTAATTGCAACAGTTCCAATCCTTAGCTCTCAATCAGACCATGGAAAGGGTCTTCCCATTGGTCTTCCTGATGTCAGACCCACACCCATCCCATCCAATTCCATAATCAGACCAGTGTAATGTGATACACGACATTCCCTGGAAAATCTTTCATGGAATCCTCTTCCAATGTACAACATAAAAACAGAAAGTACTTAGTATAACATGCAAAGCCCATCATCTGACATTTACCTACCTTTCCAGCTTCGTCTACCTTCTTGGTCTCTATTTCCCAGCCCACACTGAGGAACACCCTCCGTTCTATCCTGACTGAACCATTTCTTTGAGAGTGTTCTTTGCTTTGCCTGGAGAATTTCTGATTCTCCCATCTGCCCACCAAATTCCTGGCCACCTTCAAGGCTTTGCTTAAATGCTGTGGAGACTTCTCTGATTTTGCTATGTACACAAGCAATCCCACAGCACGACTTTTCTATAACGGTGTTAAGATATTTATCATACTCTATGATTATTTCTTTCAAATTGGGTTTCTGCAATTGGACTGAGACCTTCTGGTGGGTAGGGATTGCACTCTATTTGTCAATGTATTCCCTGTGTCTAGTAAAATGCCCTGAAAATGGTGGTAATCAGTGTGTATCATGAATAATTGATTAAATAGATAATGAGCAAAGAAGATGAATATGTTCCATATGCCTATGGACCAAATCCAAACTGACAGAACTCGAACACATTTATAACATTTATATCAAAGGAGATACGGAGCTCATCTAGAGAGCCCAGTGGCTGTGCAGGGCCTGGCACCTTGGAGACAGCCTCTACTGAGGTCACCCTAGGCCAAGCAGCATCTCTGTGTAATCCTAGAAATTCCACTTGGTCGGCATGCTCCATGGTGCTCGAGCTTGGGAGATTTCAATTTATTAATTAGCCGTAAAAATAAAACTGCCAACAATTTTGATTGCCAGGTTTTTTTGTTCTGTGTCAGAATGTTTTCCGTAGGAGAATCTGCAGGAAAAACAAGATTATAACCAGAAGATTGTTTTGGTGAACACAAAATTGGAGGAAGAACAGTCACTCCAACTTATTCATCTATCCAACTAGTCAGCACCATCTCTCCATCCTTCATACTCAGTAGAAATGGCCCCCAAAGACCAACCAGGGTGTCTTCTTCCTCGACAGTGGCAGAGATGCTCTGGAAAATTCTTTTTTAGCCCTAATTGCCTAGACTTTATGTCAACAAGCCCTTTGTGTTGACTGTGAAGACACAACAGACTAGATCTCAATTTTAAGCAGAATAATACAGACAAATGCATTCTAAAACTTCCCTCAGATTAACTAAATATCTCAGCCATTTATGTTCAAATTATTGCTTAGGGAAAATTTGTTTTCACCAAAGATTGATTTCTCTTGAAATAAGTTGTCCTAAGTTTTGAGGAAACCTTTTGTGTGTGACTTTGAGCTGAATTTGCTTTTTTTGGAAGTAAAAACAGTCTGGATTATTAAAGCTTCACTCTACCAGGAAGCGTTAACAGAGACAGGGATGCTAAATAGAAAAAAAAATGATACTAAGTCTGTAATAGTAAGTAATAATATAAACTGAGCTAATACCTTCCTCTTTCATTTGTTGGGACAAACTTATAGAAAGGGAGGATTTCAAACCTTCTGAAAAGAGGAATCCACTACAGAGGACCGCCATTTGTCCACCTCTCCATCCCGAGGCATTTCTCTTTTCCACATGATCACGTGAATTTCAGGACCCGGATTGAAGAGACAGACAGACTGAGCTGGTAAGGGACAGGAAGCCTCCTGTGCGAGGAATAGGTTAGGGGTGGGATGAGAACCACTGGAAGAGGGGAAGTGCCTTGGCTGTTATATCCAGGAGTCTCCACAGCCAGGTAGGAAGCCCGTGGTTGTCCTTCTTTAGACATAGGATTAAAAGGTCACAAAGTGGTCCCAAGAATGCCCTGAAAGAAATAAATTTTTGGTTAAAGCACCCTCCTAAAAAACTCAAAGCAATTTCTCTCTCATTGGAATAACTTGAATGAGGAAAATCTTACACACACACACACTGACTTTCTTCTATTTTTTTCAGATATTTACAGTCAGAGAATCTGTTCTAAGCAATTTCTGTCTGAGGTATAATCAAGAGAAGTTCAGGTTTTGTGGGGTCTAAATACAATAGAGTTTCTGTAATGATTAAGAGCGACGTTCTGCCTTTGTACAGCTTAAAGACTCAGTGAACAACCTAAGGGACAGGTTATAAAGCCAGGAATCCAGTTAGGATCAGTCCTTAGTGGTCCACGTAAGACTTGATAAGGGTCTACACTGGCCCTGTGGGTGGCTGGCTGGCCATGAGGATAGATATGGAGTAGATGGGACAGCTATTGAAGCTAAAAGATATCATATTACCATGCTATGCTTGCCAATTGGATTAAGGGTGGTTTAAGGAATAGGAGAAGGAACACGCTAGCCAAAGAAACTGAGAAAGAACAGAGTACCAAGTAACAAGTAATGACAACTGAATGACTCCACATGCAACCTGGAATTGGACATTCCTAGGAAATATTAGTTAAGAAATAGTATGCTCCTCTAAAAGGGTAAAGGTCAAACAAAAGAAGGTAATGCATAAATTTGATAAAATAACAAATATTTTATCCATATTTATAATTTTATTAAAATTAAATGAAGAATTAAAAATGACTTTGTAATTATCCAAGAATATATTTCAGAATATAATGAAAATAAACTAGAAAAGAATGTTATAAGAGGAAAAGCTAAAGGCAGAGTTAAATCACCACTTTCACATTTTCTCAGGATAAAATGTGTTTTTGAAATAGAGACTCACACATATTTCCCTCTTAATAAACAAAAACTCAATTGATTGGAAGTCAGGACATCGGTCTCAGTCCCATAACTTAACCTATGACCTTTCAGAGATTATTTATACATTTTGTTGTATCTTGGAGTTCTGACCCTAGGTATGCTGGGACACATGGTAGGCAGCAAGGAGTCAAAGAGGAAAAGATACCTCTTATGAAATGTGCTCATTAGCATAGAATAAATCAAGATAGGAAAATCGGTTGTCCAAACTATGCAAGCAAAGACAATATTACTTAATTGCAGCATTCTTTCCCTTTGAACTCAAATGTAGTCTTTCATAGCTCAATACTTTAAGTAGCCATTAGCAAGCAAGAGTGGGGTCTATGTTTTGCATATCATTTCAGTGTCCCACGGGGCTTCAGATTACAATTTAATTCCCATTATGAGATATTAGGAGACTAAAAACTTAATCTGGCTATGGTATCTAGAGGGGGGAACCTTTGAAAACTGGTTAGGATTGCATAAGGTCATTTAAGTGAAGCCACAATGACTGAATCCTGGTGACTTCATTAGAGGAGAAACCACACACACACACACACACACACACACCCCTACCTTTACCTTGCCATGTGATGCCCTGCACCATCTCAACACTCTGCAAGCAAGAAGGCCATCCTTAGATAGGGCCCCATGCTTTTTGACCACTGTGGTCTTGTGTTATTAGCAAGAGAAAACAGAGTGACACAGTTAGCACCGCAGAAAAATCCTATCTATCATCTTGGTTTGTCAGTCAGGATAGTGTAGGTGATGCTATTGTAGGAGGTAACTCAAAAATCTCAGTAGCTTAAAACAGCTAGACAGATTTGATTGATGTTAACAGTTGGCTTAGGATTTAGTTTCTTATCACCATCATGCTCACTTCAAATGAAGCATTCTTTAGCTGGAACATTACTGGTCAAAGAGCTAAAGGCCAAGTATGGAAAATACAAACTGGTTCTTAATTTATCCACTTGGACATGATGCCCACACTTCTGCTCACCTTCTGTCAATCAAGATGAGACACATGACCACACCTAATGTCTTCTGGACAGGAAAGTACAGTCCCACTGTGTGCCTGGAAAGAGAGAGAGCCAGACTGTTATGTTGAAGCCCTGGTGAATATCACACTAGGATAGACACAGAGGAATCTGGCCTCACTACAGAGCCCCAAAACAGACTCAGTCCAGCCAGAGCCATACACTTAGGCACAGAATGTCATTCTGTTGCTAGGTGGAGAGTGGATACTAGGAAAGTGTGTATGGAAATTGTCCTGACCAGGATGAGGGTCAATTATTTTGGGGGAGGAAGATAATGGGGAAGTTTCTGAATATGTATTTCAAAGCAAAGATGACAAGAATTGCCAGTGGATTAGGGTGGAGTATGAGGGGAAATAAAGCAACTAAGGATGACCTCTAGAAAAGTTGTGACCCTCCACGGTGTACTACATATTCTCTGTCTTCCTAAATTCACCAAAGCTGCCTTTTCCTCTTTTCCAAACTGATAAGTAAAAATGTTCAATTGTTTTATGGTTCTTGATTGCTACTGTGGTTAGATGTTTGTTGTGTTTGTACATCATTTATGTTGCTTCTAGTGTGTGTGTTGCTTCTATTGTGGAAACACATTTTAGGCTAAAAATATTACTAGAAAAGCAATAAAGATGTGTATTCATGTTTCCCAATAGCATGTGAGTTTCACAAACATAAAGGACAAAAATCCTTGTCCATTTTAGTCACTACTCCATCTCTGGAGCCTAAAACAGTACCTGCCCTTCAGTGATGATAAAAACCACTAACACCTACGTACCTTGATCTGTGCCAGGCACTGTTCTAAGGGCTTCTTATACAACGACCCATAACAATTCACTGAAGAAACTAAATCATAGCAAGGTTAAATAATTGCCTAAAATCACAAAGCTAAGAGGTGGTGGAGTCGGGGTCCAACTCTGGCCCCAGAGCCCAGATCTTAACCACTGTGTTCTGCCGCCTGTCAGTAGTAAGTGCGAAAGATATTCAAGTGTCAATTAATTTTCCAACCTGTAAAAGATGAATAGTAATGTATTTAATCTTAAGTGTTTGTAAGGGGAAAATGAAAGTAATTAATAATTAAATTAAATCAAACAAACTTGCCAGGAAGATAAAGGACATAGTTACTATAAAGAGAAATGATCTAAAATCCATTTTGTTAGCAAATTGAGAAAAGGCTTAGTATAATACATGTTTGCTCCAGGATGATGCCTCAAATTCTCAGCAGTGAAATGCACTCATGGTTAATGATCTAGAGATGACAAATGAGACTCTAGAATGAATGCTGGTCTCCCAATCAGTCACCTTCTAATCTAGACGAAGCTCAAATCCACTCCATACATTCTACTAATTAACTCCTCAAAATGTTGCTAAGCACACATCCTCATCATCTTCTTAAATCCTCACTGTGGACCAGAAACTTTTCTCATTGAAAGGCAAGTAGACTACAAGGGAAACAACTCCAGCATTAGCTCCAGGGAGTGTCGAGGGTGAATCTCAGCTCTCCTGGGGACTAGCAGAGTGAACATGGGAGAATCATTAGTTTATCATCCTCTGTCTCACTACAAAAAGAACCAAGTAAGATTAGGTATCTACAGTGGTCAACTTGAGTGGACCATGTGCTGCCCAAACATTGGACTTAAAGAGAACGGTCAACCCTCCTAAACATGTCACACTCTGCACACATGCAAACTCCTTTCTCTCCACATTCCTTGATAGGTATCAGCAAGTTGAAAGAATCCTTATGATAGACAAAGCTATGGGAAGAGTGAGAGTCTAATTTCGAAGGCAGTATGTTGCATCTGTTATATTTCTGGCAGGTGGAAGCCAGGAGTGGCACATAAAGAGTTTGAAAATATTTTACACTCTTGAGGGCTCAATCAATATAATTTATATTAAGACCAAAAGAATAACAGAAAACTTAAAGGACATAGAAGATGAAAAGTAGAAATCCAACATGTAAACTATGAAAGAACATAAAGGGCAAAATTAATAATCAAAGTATAAGTTTTTTAAAATCTATGATTTTCAAAGAACTGATTAAAAGAATGTGAAATGAATTAAATTAAAAGACCTACCACTGTCTGAAGCTAAATAAATAAACCTAAGTGAACTCTGGAAGAGTAACTATAGAAATTCTTAAACTTTACGAATAAAGATTTCACCTTTCTCAGTGGGTTACAATTAAAATTTTTATAGGTTTCTTTATTGCCATCCCAAGACAACAGAGTTAGAGTTTCAGGAACCCCTAAAGAAAAAAAAGCTCAAGCTGTTAATTGTGGGCAAAAAGAGATTTCAAGTGCTCAGTCTTTTAGAATCTTACCGACATCTTTCCTGCACAGTCACCCAGGGTATTAACCAGCTCACCAAATCCCAGGGTGTGGTTCCTTGGATGAGAAATGTGATACAGGAAATGATGAATGGGTCCAGGAAAGCCAATTCTCTTTTCTCTTTTTCCTTTTTAAAAATAAGCAAATGTTAGTAGGAAATGATATGAGTTGATCCTGATAGGACCAGAAAGAATAATTAAGGGAAAAAGGGAGCCTGATATTTGCTGAATTATCTAACTAATTGGGGTAATTGTTTAAACAAAAGTAGAGCAAAATAAATCAAAAATAATGAAGGCAAAAGCCCATAGATTATACAAATGATGAACAGAAGAAAGGGGGAGTCACAAAGTACAAAAATGTCTTATCCTCCACAGAGAAGAGACCGAAGTAATTGTGTTTAAATGTATAGATCTAAACTAAAAATATTAGGCTACTAAACTCTTGCCAAAAGTAATTGTGGCTGATTTATAGTAATAAGTTAATAACTACTATGATTAGGAATATTTATGGCCTGTTTTAAATTAATCATAAGTAATGGTAAGTATGGGACATTTACCTTCTAAATTATTCTAATATGAAAAAGAAAACATTACAGCCTATCAAAATTCAAAATAGAAAGAAAAAAATGGATGTTCCCACTTTACAAAATAAAAAATAGAAAACAGAGGACAAAGAACATGAAACAAGTTAGTTCACTCATTGAGGTACACGCTATTTGATTATATCCATGTGTGAATTTATAGGTGAACATAAACCACGAAGATATTGAACAGTTTATGAGCAAATACTATTAGCACATTCTTAGAGTACAAAAAGATTATGTTGTGATATCTATTTAAATTAATAAGAACATGACTTTTTTAAAAAAGATTGATAGGAACTTAATAACAACCAAAAAATACAGACAACAAAATTTTTTAAAAGAGAAGACTTGACAAAAAGCCAAATTGCATTTAGATATTTTCATTTTCATAAATAAGATGTCTAAATTTTAATGAATATTTTAACTGAAATATAAATCAAAAAATTTTTAAAGTTACAACCTAATTATTTTGAAATTACTTTAGAGCTACTTATTTCAGAAATACAACTGATTAAGTACTTTAAATCTAATAAAAATCGCAACAGAAATCTTTAAAATAAAATTAATTTGTTTGACAGATGCTATATAATTGAATAATTTTATTCTCAATAGTGTACTCATTAAACTCAAGAACAAAATTCACCACTATCATTTGTATTTTACATAGTATTGGTGGTTTTTACTAATATAAAATATTATGAAAAATAAAAGTAATATGTGTTTAAAAAGGAAAGACAAATTAATAATTAAAGATGACATGATTATATTTTTTAATCCCAAAGAGTCATGTGTAAATCATTAAAAGTTACAGAAGAATTTAGGAAGTAAAATAGTTAAGTTCAAGATAATGTCATTATTACTTCTTTGTACCAGTAAAAAAATAAATCTGCATTATCATTTTAGAAAAATATAGATCACAGTCCATTTATAATTGGAAGAGAAGAAAAAAACAGGAATAAGCCTAATGAAATTTGGAAAGTTTTTTTTAAGGTCTAGTTATTACTATCAGTAGTTTTTAAATTTTAAATACAGCAATTAACCATCCAGCTAAACAATTTTTTTATTAGTGTATGTTTGTATGAATTGGTGTATGAATTGGTACAAGCATGTAACATATCTTGATCATTTTTGACCCCATATCCTTAACAATATCTTTAAATATGTCAAATTTAACTTTCCTGCCCTTATTATTTTGTAATTGTGATATCAATATAGTTGAACAATTTAAGAAAATGCTGATAGTTTAAAAGAAAAAATAAACATGTAAGAGTAACTAAAAAATAAATTTAATTGCTTCTACTGGTCATTAAAATCTATCATGAAGAAACAATTCAAATTGGGGCTACTTAAGCAAAATTTTAGAATTTCTATAAAACAAGAGTCCAGAAATGGGTCGAACTAGCTAATAAAAAAACTCAATATGATAAAGTAAGTGCTCTAAAATAATCATAAAATGATTTTAATAAATGATTTAAAAGTCACATATACTGTATATATACTTTATAGGGAAATGCATTCTAGAGATGTCTTGCAATATATACCTAAGTAAATTGGAGAAGGATTAAAGAGTTAAGTAGAAAACAATAAACTGAGTACATTAAGTGTTAAATGAAGCTCACCAACACCACCACTACTGGGATAATAAGACTTAAATTTACAAACAAGATCAATGTTGATAGAATGTGGCAGAATGTAAAAATGACCACAACATTTTGTAGTTCCTCTCATCCATTTCTGGAGCCTATTTTTTCACTCCTTGAATCTGGTCTTACTTTGAAAGTTGGTTTGGTCAAAAGAAGCCATTGGAAACCACAGTGTGCAAGCAGGGAAAGCATGCAAGAGATTAAGGTGCCTTAAGAACTTCTTCCTGGAGCCCTCATAATGGGTGCTGTTTGGGGCCCCTGCATCCTGGCCTGGTGGGTGGTAGGACACCATGTTGAGCACAGACTGGCCTTCCCACCTGACACACCTTTGATCAGTCAGCCCCAACTAACCAGGGAACTGGTGGTAAATACTGAGTGAGCCACAATCATTGCAGCCATTCAGTTGGGGCAGCCAAAATTATTGATCCATGTTCCAAGGGCTGGGAGTTTAGCTCAGTGGTTCCACTGCCTGCCTCCCAACCACAAGGTCCCAAGTTCGATCCCCAGTACCAAAAAACAATTGTTCATGTTTCGAGCCACCAACCATTGAGGTGGTCTATTATGCTACATAAATAACCGATCATATGAATGCTCAAAAGTAAGGGAAAATTATTAGTGGGGCATCTCTAAGTAACTGATAGAACGTATTATCTAGAAAAAAGATCACTCAGAATATATACAGGAATACTCACAAGAGGGTCTGTCAATAGACAGAAAAGCCATGGTGGGTTTCTCATTTGATCTCATGGAGATGAAAGCTATAAAGATGCTGTTAGTATTCAATTGTGGGAATCTAGCATGATAGCTAATTAAATTATCACCTATGGTCATCAAAAATGGAAAGATATATGAATTTATGGCATTGGGAGAATTGTTCAAAAATGTTTTCAGGAATCTCTCTGTCTCTCAGCCCTGACTTCTAGATTGGCTTCATTATTAGGATCTATATATTTAGATCCCATGTACATTTACAATTAAGATCAGCTTTTCTACAAGGTTTTAAAACTGGTGATGTTTAAAAGAAATTCTCCTCTCTCTCTCTCTCTCTCTCTCTCTCTCTCTCTCTCTCTCTCTCCTCTCTGCCCTCCTCAAACTTGCCACTTACATGTCTTAATCACTTTTCTTATCTCTGGGACACAATACCCAATCCCTATAACTCAAAAGAGGTTTATTTTGGCTCACAGTTTGTAGAGATCTCAGTCCATAGCTGGCTGACTCCAAGGCACGATGGTATAGCAGAGGGGGCTGGCGGAGGAGAGCTGCTCACTGCATGGCAGACAGGAAACAGAGAGAGGGTCAAGGGAGGAGCCAGGGAGGCGATCAATCCTTCCAGACCACGCCCCTGACCCATCTCTTTGACCAGACCCCATCTCCCCCCATCTCTTGACCAGCAAGTCAGCTGTATGCTCCCAAAATCCAATCACCTTTCAAAAGTCCCACCTTTGAGCACATGAGGAGGGAGGAGTATTTTGTCCAAGGGATGTTGGACCAAAAACATTAATCGTTGGTTACTGTGTATGGAGAGAAAAGGCAAATATGAGAATGAGACAAGAGATGATCTGTTGAAGAGAGCTTCTTTGAGAAAGTTGAAAGGAGTGAACTGAAGAGCAAAGGTCGAGGGACTGGCCTTGAATCTGAGGAGGCATGTGTGCTTTTTTTTATGTATGTACATATGTACACAGGCGGCTCAAGGCCATACCTAATTAAAGCTAATGATATCTATATCACAAATGTGAGTGCAAGAGTATTACGTCATTGAAAATAAGCCATTTTCAAGCACCTAACCCTTTAGTTACTTGCACATTTGCTGATCCACAGTTAATATGGTAATTTTTAGTATTACTAATGAAATTTCTATCATCATAAAACATGAATTCATTGGATGCCCATTTGGCACAGCTATTTAGTGATTTTGAGTTCCTATGTTTGGGTTAGAATAAAATAAATGTCTAGATAGATCATAGAGGCCATGCCATATGTACCATAGTTAAAAGTGCAGTTATGGAAATAAATGGTCAGACCTGGGTTTGAATCCTGACTACATCACTTGCCACCTACGTGACCCTAGGAAAGTTATTTAATGTTTAATTCAGGTAAACTATTCCACAGAAGGCCTCAAACCTAGTAAGTTCTCAATAATGTTGTTTCTCTATGGTTTTGATTACGATTCTAGAACTTTACAGCCAGCACTTTATATATGACTCTCAATTTCTCATCATTCAGATTCTTTTCTAGTTCAGTTGGAATCAGTCAGGTTTTCTTGTGCATTATGCAGTATAATATATAAATACAGAAACACAAAGTCACGTAAGTAACCAACTACTCTGCATTTGTTTTTTCCTATCCTCTAGATTTCCCTCACCCAGAAATCCTTCCCAGACAGCCCCTTTAATAACTGTAGCTCTTTCAGGATTCCTCGCCATAGTGAAAGAATTCAACCATATTTATGTTGTCCAGTCAAATACTTGGTAGTTTCCACTTTTAAGAGCATATTTTCTAAACATCTCTGGTAAATGGAGATTTTGACTTTCTGCCCGGGACACCCTGAGAGCTGCTCCTACAGAAAAAAACTAATAGGATAATAAATCCCAAGTCCTTTTTTTCTCTCTCTCTGAACAAGAGTTGTTTTAGTTAAACTCGCATTCACTTTTCTCTGAAGGCTGCCCGGTCTCCTCTCAGACCATTGTGTTTAATACAGGACTTTTGACTCAGCCGTCATTACTCACACTTTACTGATTTTACTTTAAACACTGTTGGGTAAAACGACAATTTATCAAGACTGTTTTGCCTAGCAGTTGGGGATAATTTATTTTTCTGTTGAAGGATTTGATATTTATTAGCGCAGCAGCAAGCCGGTCAGCAGGGATCCACACTCCAGGGGACGGGCTCTGGGTCCAGTTTTGTGGACTTCTCCATCCACCCTCTTCTGCTCCGGAGGCAGCAATTCTAGGGCTCTGTCTCTTGGAGAAGGAAGTTCAGGGTGCTCCCTTCCCCAAAGGGGTTGGACCCCCAGCTGTGAGGGCCCGAGGCCAGCCTTCCCCAGTCCAGAGGTGCGACCTCAAATCCCTCTCTCTCTTCCTCAGGAGAGCCAGCAAGACCTACGGCATGCAGACAAGGACTCATTACAGAAATGCGAGCATCTGTGAGGAGAACGCCTGGCCTTGGCAGCCAAAGAGCATCTGGTTGGCAAGAG